TGTAATGTCCAGTCGTATTCATTAAAATGCCTATGCTAAAATTCCCAAATGCCAGAAGAACTTCTGAGTGAGTTTCTATTTTCTCTCACATCCTTCTCCTTACTTTATCCCTGCTCTAGGTTGTGAAACAGCGATTTTATTCCCGATGCGTTCCAAGAAGATTTTTGGAAGCGTGCATCCAGTGACACCAATGAAGCTTGAGTCTTTTAGTGCCTGCCTTTGGGTCAAAGCCACAGATGTTTTCAACAAAACCATCCTGTTTTCCTATGGCACGAAGAGGAACCCATACGAGATCCAGCTCTACCTCAGCTATCAGTCCACAGTGCTCGTGGTGGGTGGAGAGGGGAACAGACTGGTTGCCGACACTGTGATTTCTGTAGGAAGGTGGACCCACCTGTGTGGCACCTGGGCTTCAGAGACAGGGCGCATGTCCTTGTGGGTAAATGGAGAACTGGCGGCCACCGCGGTGAAGATGGTCCCAGGTCACGTTGTTCCTGAGGGAGGAATCCTGCAGATAGGCCAAGAAAAGAATGGCTGCTGTGTTGGTGGTGGCTTTGATGAAACTTTAGCCTTCTCTGGAAGACTCACAGGCTTCAATATCTGGGATCATGTTCTCAGCCATGAAGAGATAAGAGAAACTGGAGAAGCGGAATCTTGTCACCTCCGGGGAAATGTTGTTGGGTGGGGCGTCACAGAGATCCAGCCACATGGGGGGGCTCAGTACATCTTGTAAGGGTTGTGAAACTCTACTCGAAGCCAAAGAAGAAAACTCATGTTTTAAATATATGCCAGTTGGGAAGGTCTAAAAACCTCAGTGCATAATAGGAACACTTGAGACTAATGAAGGACAGAGTTGAGATTAATCTTTATTTGTCCTGGCAAAATGCTGAAAAAACAGGAAGATATTGGAGAAGGCTTTTGAGGATATTGTTACTAGACTTTAGGACATGGTGCTTTCAGATTAATACTGTGTCTTTGTCAGATAAACTCGCAAATAATTAAAAAGGACTGTGTTGTTAAACAGAAGGACAATTGTTTTACTTTGCTTTGGTTAATTTTGTTTTGGCCAGAGATGAATTTTACATTCATTGGAAGAATAATAACATTTGTTGTTCGTTATTCATTGTTATTGGTGTGTACCTTATTATAAACAATGATAAAACACATTTATACTACAATGTGACTTAACAAATATAAATGTAGTTTACATGTTATAATCGAGTGTTGCTTTTTTGGAGGAGGTAGTTGTATAAGTTATATTGTAAAATGATTTTGTATTAATTTTATTAAGACTATTTTTGTAAAGCTCTACTGTAAATAAAATATTTTATAAAACTAGCTCATGTTGTCTAATTATAAATTTAAGAGATGTTTTGGAGCAAATCTACACTTTCCTCTTCATGTAAAGTGGACAATCATTTTCAGAGATTATTATGTAAACAATAATAGTTAATATTGTTAGAAATAAACTGTAGAGTTGTTTTAAACTTTGACTCCCTCGAATTCATACAGAAGAAATATGATCTTGGTTAAGTCAATTCATCTCTCTGGGTTTTAGTTTTCTCAACTAAGAAATCAAGGAATTGAGGAACTAATGATCTATAGAGTTCCCTTCCAGTTTGATGATTCTGTGAGCTTATGTAGCTCATGGGAAAAAAAACACACCAGTCCATGAGTTACCAGGGCTTCCCAGATACATGTGATGTGTGCAAGCAATGTCTTAGTGCTGTTACTGGGGGAGATCTAGAAACTGGAAAAGAAACAATGACCCTGCCCTTAATTCACACCTGTTCTCTTACCTCCTCATGAAGGGGAGGAAAGTCAAGCCCCCTCACACTGCAGATGCGGCGTTAAGTCCCCGCCCCGCTAGTGTTCTCCTCCTGTACGGTCTATATAGGGGCTGACAGAAGAGCATTTTGAGGCAACATCACAACTTTGCCTCTGAATGTCAGTGGGAAATATGGTAAAACCACAGTGGTGATGCATCTGCCCACAGACAGGGCCGAACACAGGTCATTTCCTATTCATGAGGTCTGCAGAATGCTTGGACCTAGGACCCCAGTAGGGCCAGGTGTAATTATCAAGCCACATTTTGTACCTAACTAGCTGGTTATCCTTAGACAAGTGACTTAAATCCTCTGAGTTTTCTCTGAAAAATGAGAGAGCTGGACTTTGAGTGCCTTCCAGCAATAAAATTCCACGAATCTAAGAATCTTTGAAGGTGCTGTGACATTGGTATAGCTTTATCCCACTCTTGAGAACCACAGAATCAGGCTGATGAGTCTCTAAGGAAATCTCTCACCATCGTGAGCTGTTAGGCCAGCCTCTACCTCTTGGAGATTACATAACTCAAGGTCGCAGCTTACAAAGTTCTTGTCTATATGACTTGAACTCTCAGCTGGAAAAAGACATACTGGGTTCAGTCTTAGGCAGAGTTCCAGCATGCTTGCCATTCTTTTCCACAAGCTTATTCAGCACGAATCGGATCTCTTCAGGAGACCCAACCCAAGACAATGCAGGCCAAGATATATGCAAACTCACATACCAGCGGAGTTATATGTAAGAGAACTTTTCATTTTTACGGTGATTACATGTCGAGGGCAAAGAGGAAGCAAATAGAGGAAAACAAAGTAATCCTCTGGATTACAAAGGTGGAAATTTTATCTGCAACAGCAGTAAATCTGAGCATGTGTTCCAAAGACTTCTAATTGTTGCCTGACATCTATTTTCTCTTTTATCCTTAGTAACAGGGCTCTGATGGTAGTGGCACATTTGACCACTTGGAGGAAAGACTACGTTTTCCAGCATATGACTAAGCTCTGCCCAACACTGAAATACTGTATGTGATTCTCAGGGAATGAACTCAGGGAAGGAACTTCTCTTTCCCTTCCTCCTTCAGACTGGTTGGAATGTGGTCATGATGGCTGGAATTAAAGCGTTCCCTTTAGACCAGGAGATTTAGCACAACAATCGAGAAGAAACTGGGTTTCCACCATTGTGAAGCCACCCCACCAGCCCTGGGCTGTCTGCCCCTGGACTTCTTTTACATGGGAGAAAAAGACACTTGTATTGTTTTTACATCAAGATCGATTAGCTGTCTAAATTATTCCTCACCCAGTGACTTTCATTTCTTAGTAAAAAAGACCATGCACTTTATTCTCTCAAAACACTCACAGCCAATACTCAGAAAATACATTTCACAGACTCTCAGGAAGTTGGCTGTTTTTTGGTTTAACTGATCAATAGAATTCAATGAGTCTTATAATTTATAGTGTCAGTAAAAGGGGAAAATGAGAAATGTGTAAAACATCTAAAAAAGTATCAGCATGCTCACTTATCACATTGGCGAGCTGTTTCATTCACAGGAATATTTTCTGAGGTCAAGTAGTTGTGAAGACTGCCTCAAGCTTTTAGGAGGAAATGAAAGTGTGTGTGTGTAAATAATCTATAACATGCTAGAAGTATACTCTGTATTGATTATAAATGTATTTATCCATTTATCCGTGTGTGTGCTAGGGTAACCAGCTCTCCTGGCTTACGTGGGACTGACCTGGCTTTAGCTCTGAAAGTCCCGTGTTCTAGAAAACCCCATAGTCTTGGGCAAACTAGGATGGTTCGTCAGCCTAGTATGTATGTATGTATGTCCAGTAAAATAACATTTTTGCAGAAATAACATATGAACAAAACGGAGCTTATATACAGTCCTTGTCTATTTCAACCTAAGTTGGCTCTTAAGCATGGGGTCGCTATGAGTCAGAATGGACTTGACCGAAACGGGTTTGGTTTGGTTTCTTAAGTATTAACTTCTTTAAAACAGCTTCACAATATTTAACTACTAAGCATGTGTCATAGAATTTTAGAGCTTGTTATTTACAATTAATTAACTAACTTCATTTTAAGAAATAATTAGGTTTACAAACAAAGAGGAAAATTATAATTGAGTTTTATTTTATTTCTTGTCAAATCTCACATTGGAAAGCTCTTTTTTGAGAAGTTTACTAAGGCCACATATTTTTAACATTGTGTTTTAGTCAATTAAGAAATAACAAAGTTTAAAGCCTTGGTCAAAGTGTGTATGTTCACATATGTATTCCTGCATTCAGTGAACTGGAAAACTCAGATTGCTGGCTCTTGCATTCAGTTTTATAAATGTGGCACATAGAGATAAGCTTGCTGGGCTTGGGGTCTCTTAGAAATCCAGTGTTCAAATCCTGGCACCATCACCTACCACCTCCAAGATGGTGACCTGCCAACTAATTTCAACTAAACTAAGCCTCAAAGGCCTTAATTGGCTAAGAAATTAGGGATAACAGGATTTGTCTACCTTACTGAAAGGTTACTGTGAAAATCATATAAATGGGGATAATGTCCTTTCTAAGCCATAAATTAGTTTTTGAAATAAAATAGTTATCTCATAAAATGGTTTTCCAAGTTGTTCCCAGCGGTTTAAAGCATATATAAGCAGGCAAACAAAAACACAAACAAATAAATGAATTGAGGATTCCTTTCCACTGTGGGCACGTCATTTTTCGAGTTCAGCACATGGATGTCTGTATCTGTGCAGGCTTTATTCTACTTCACAGCAACATCTGCTGGTGAAGTCAAGGAGGTGCAAACTGGCTTGCACCAGATCCAACGTGGTTAACAATTGCCAAAGAGGTCCCTTTCTTTTCCAAGATGTGCCTTTATTTCTTTATCCATATTTGAGTTAACTTTTTGCATCATTATATCCATATTTCATTATGTTTAATAATAGTCTGCTTGAATATACTTTAAAAGGTTGCTTACTAGCCTTTTTTCCTAGAATATTTGACTAATGAATTATTTCCCAGCAACTTGTAATATGGTGAACTTAAAGCTTTTTCTTTTAAGCGTAGTGATATTGTGAATTTTTAATGGTTAATTATCTCTCAAAGGAGCCATGGTGCTGCAGTGATTAAAGTGCTTGGCTGCTAACGGGAAAGGTTGGCAGTTTGAACCCACCAGCTGCTCTGTGGGAGAAAGATGTGGCAGTCTGCTCCAGTAAAGATTATTGCCTTGGAAACCCTATGGGGCAGTTCTACTCTGTCTTATAGGGTCGCTAAGAGTCAGAATTGACTCAACAGCAACAGGTTTTGGTTTAGAATCACCTCCAAAGGGATAATGAAAGTCCAGAAATGCATATGGTTGAGGTGGAGCAAAGATGGCAGCTTAGTCACACACATCATAATGTCCCCCTGCACCAAAGACCCACAAAACCAACTGAAATGAAGCAGATAACAATCTGGGAACACTAAACATCAAAAAAGAGGGTCTAAGAACTGAACTGAACACCGACTGGAAGGAAAAAGTGAGTGAATGCAGCAAACGAGGAGTAACACAGAACAGAGGAGCTTAGCCATCCGTCCTGGCCAGACACAGCCATCTTAGGACAAAGCCCGCAGTGACTTCGGGTGAAGAAAACAGCAAGGCAACTTCACAACTTTCCCAAAAGGGTCAAAGAAACTCCATAGACACACACAGAGAGAAGCAGAGACAGGAGGAGAGCAAGGATCCAGAACTGGAGATACTCAGGAGGCACAGCCCGTAACCTCAGGGCTGAGTGGCATGCACGAGGCGTTGAACCTGAAGAGTATTTCCGGGAGGTCTCCCACCCAGTCGGACCCCAGGAGGCCCCCCTTCTTGCACTCAAGCAGGGACAGTTTCTGCTTGCTGGCTGCAGCGGACACAAGGTGCCCTGGCACCTGCATATCCTAGCCAGAGGGACATACTCCTCTTCACCCCATTCCCCTGATTAGAGGCAGCAAAGGGTCCCATACCCCACCCACCTTGCGTGACTGGGAGACCACAACAAGGGCCTCTCCTCTTCCCCCCACCCCGCCCACCTCATCCACTACCTTCCACCCGACAAGCAGGACTAGGCACACCGCAGTGCGAGTGCTCACCCACCATCTACACCCTCCTGAGGAGATGTGACTGCGCGTGCATCCCCCCACCACTCCTTCGCTCCCCTGCCTGCCGTGCGCTAGGCGGGGCAGCGCCACTGAGTTCACATCCACTTGGTGCAACTCCCTCCCTCAACCCACCTAGTGAGGGATGGAGGCACTGTGACTGCGTTCACATCACCCTGCAGCCCCTTCCTCCCTCCTCCCACGTGGCGCGAGGTGGACACAGCCATTTGCCATAACTTCCTCCCTGCCCCTGCCCAGTGAGAGGCAGAGGTGCCGAGACTGTGCATGCATCCCCACTGCCCCTTCCTCCCTCTTCCCACCCAGTGCAAGACAGCTTGTCTGCTAGCGCTTCCACCCGGTGTGCCTCCATCCCTCACCCCACCCAGCAAAGGATGGAACTCTGCATCTGCACACGCATCCCTCCAAGGCC